AATTATCAACTATATCTGTGAAAGTTTCCTGAGAAAAGTAGCTGCACAGTTTATACCAACTTAAATCCCCAGGCAAACCATTCAATAGCACAGGCAATCCTATATATACATGAAACCGTTACCCATTTTCATTCCAAAAGTACTGTTGAAAGAGCTGGCCATTGCAACTATACTAAGTTAATCATAAAAGATTCGGCCTTCAGCTGGTCACCAAATATTATTAAACTCTAGGTAGTACAGTTGTAATGATGTTGTATAGTTTTTTAAAAAGAAATATTGGAATGATCAGAAATTACTTGTTGTGAAGCTTTTGATAACTTATGAACTCTCTATCTAGGTATATCAGTAAAGTCAGTCTCATCAGATTATTTTTAAACTGCTTATTGCTTGTGGACACTGTAAAGACAAGGCAAATGGTTCCAAACTTCCATGAATGAAACTAGATGGAATACTGGAAAATTGTTCAGATTTCCCAGCCACGTGGTTCAAAGTTAGAAATTGACAAATAAGTGTATTTTTTTCATTTCTTTTAGCAGACTGATAACCTATCACCTCTATTAACCAGAAGTGATCACTGCATAGGCTCTGTTCATTTATTTTTCCTTAACTTGAGGTTTTCCCCAATATGTATAAAGTATCCTTTGGAATGAAAAATGGCTTTGTGACCACACAGTCAGGCTGCTGAGCATTCTCAGGGCCAGCAACCACTTCAGCTGCTTCCTTCTGATGAATAATGCCCATTAAAAAGAGTTCCAGCAGAGATTCAAATGCTGGTTTCATCCTTGTGCTTATTTACCAGTGCTATTTCTCCTGCAAGACAATTTAATCATTTCAGCTCCCAAGTGACACTTTTGCTTGAAAAAAAATGTATTTTCGTTACTTATTATGTTTCTCACTTTTGTGCTTTTCTCCATTTACTTGAACTGATCTTTTCTGTATGTATCAGAGTATGGAAAATAAACAGAGGTGGCAATTAAAGGGAAAAAACAAAGAACCTATAAACAAAACTATTTAAAAAAAAACAATGAAAGAATGATTGAGAATGAGTCATATTTATGTTCACTTCCTCAAACATTACAGCAAACAATTTTACTGGGAAACATCAGGTGAACAATTATTTTCTGGTAATATTGAAGATATTCATGAGAATGGTTCTGAATTTTTCTGGACTAAAACTAACTTTAGTTATTACAACAATGTAGCCAGCCCACAAACAATAAACTAAATTTTCTTCGATGTTTAAAAATCAGTTACATATAGTAATATAAATGCATGCCTAAAACCTTTCTCAGAGGAAGAAACATTTTGTTGACTAGTTACACTGTTCCAAGAAAATGAATACCAGATAGGCAAACTGGAATAACTTTAGAGAAGAACATAAAAATGTGTTTGGGAACAGAAAAGACTGACTTTCCAGGAAAAACTTTTCATGTAAAAGCCATTTGGTTAAACAACGCTGACTACACAACTACCTGTAAGCCTATTGTGCTGTATGAATTAATAGCTTGCTTTTCAGGGTTCTCCAGCGGATACAGTTAAGAAGATTCATATGAGCAAAGTTATCTCAAACATGGAAAATCACTGACAGTACAGAAAACATGCAAGTCGTATTAGGAAATAAATAAGTAAAATGGAAAGAAAATCCCAGAAGGAGGAACATGTTTTCCTGTGTAGTGTATCTAAAGGGTCCCGCACCATTCATGGCTAAAAGCTAGCCTGGAAAGCACTCAAGAATCTACTGTAAGGAACAATAATGTACTGGCCAGAGCTGCACATGATCTAATAGGTTTGCAATTATGTCCTTACAAAGAACAAGTGCAAAAAGCTACAGCTGATATTTCAAAAAAACTAGTCAGTTAGTAAAGCTGTAGGATTTAACTGTAATCACTTCAAATCACATACGAACTTCAATTCAGCAAAGTCATCACATTTCTCCTTTAGCATGGCTTTTTGATACTCTTCTAATCACCTGAGATACTCTTCTTAATCTTTTTTTATATTCAGAGAATGCCCATCTATGCACGTTATGACTCTCCCGCAGGAAAAAAAAAAAAAAAAAAAAAAAAAAAAAAAAAACACATTAATTGTTATGTTAGAAAGTTACAAAAAGACTACAGCATCAATGTATTTCTCCTTCACGATTCACACTGTTACAAACGTCAGTGCTTATGGAAGGATATACAGCCTTGAAGCGGAAAGCTGTTAATAAAAATATGAAGAAGTCGTAACAGTTGTTACAACTGTTACAATACTGTTGCAGCTGACTGGACACTTCATAAATAAAGTCTTAATCTATTTTTTAAAAGAGGAATGGAAATTGACAGTTCCCTACCAATATCCAGGTCATTCTGGCTTCACTAAAGCTTACACAATATCACTTTATTTTCAAAATATCAGGGTTAGCTGCATTAAAGACATCTCTTTACGATGCTTATCCATGCTGCAAGTCTACTAGCAATTGGCACAGTCAAACTGTAATGGACACCTTCTCCCATGCAACTTTGTATACGAGAACAGGACTGCTCTTCAGAAGCTTAAGCACCATCAATAATCAACTGAAAAGTTGTTCTGATTAGATTTCACTTCCCCAGCTCAGATTCCACCCATTCCTAATTTAAAACTTGTATTTTCATGATTGTCTGGAACCAAAAGGCAGTGTTTTATACCACTGACATTTTCAATTCAGATGTTTTTCTCTATTTCTAGTTCCAAAATACTTTGAAGGTAATAGCTATCGAAAGCTGATTAAGGCAAAAGCAAAAGTATAAAAATGGGTTTATATCACAGGAAAAATTATGACCTTTGCTTGTGGAATTACTGAAAAATTCATGTACTCATGACTCTCCTGGGTCATCAGGGCCCCCAGAGCCAGGTTTCAATATACCAAGTCCCATATTTTAACAGAGGAATTTTCAATTTTAGAAACAATTGCATTTCTTGGTTTCAGTGCCTATTTTTGTCCTATCAAACTAACTCTGCTTCCAAAAGGAAACACCACAGTTAAATGAACCAGCTGCTATCCCTAAGAAAAGGCCAACACGTAACTAAGCAACAAAACAGGAGAAATGTGAACATTTTATAATGTGTAGCAGGGAGCTTTCTCTCTGTAACTGGTAATATTTATTACCCTTACAGCATACAAACTTCCAAGTATCAGTCTCACTGTTTCCATCTTTAGCTAACATAGAAATGAAATGTATTACCAGTATTAAAAATTCTTAACAAAAATAGAACATTAGGTATTTTTATGAAGCCGTCGAAGTTGGTGGGTAGTGCCTCTTTAGTAGGAATAGCACGCTAGAGGTACTAAAACAAGGGCAGATTTGGGAATGATTTGTGATTAGTTACAATATCCTCATTAATCTTTCTGCAGGACAGAAAAATTACTAAAAGAGTGAAGTTGAAAGGTCCAATCCAGCCCTTTGTTGCCCTTCTCTGACGTTTCCCCAGTTTGTCAAGTGTGGACCAAAAAGGCCCAAAATAACTTAATATCCCTTCTAAGTCTCAACCAAACTCATAGATGGTTAGTTACCCAGTCCATAATCCAATGTTTCTTTCATAAATGATTCTGTCTTCTCTGCACTCATAGATGGTTAGTTCCCCAGTCCATAATCCAATGTTTCTTTCATAAATGATTTTGTCTTCTCTGCACTCATCCACTTATACTTTCTAATGTTCCGGGACATCTTCTTGTACTTTTATTCTCCATACTATTTGTGACTCCTCCCTGTAATTTCTGTGGATTGTAAGGCATGATGCTTACCTTCTCTTCTACTTCACCATGGAGATTCCAAAATAACACTACAAGGTAAGGACTCCACCATAAAATTTAGTCCTCACAGTAAGAATGAAAAGCTACAATGAATGAACAATTTCTAATATATGCATGCACTTTTGTTTTCCTGCTTTTGGCATCCATGCAGAGAAATTACCCTCTTTTCAGAAGCAAATTATTTTTAATGCTCCCAGCTGCCTTTTACCTTTTCCTTTTTTCTTTTTTTATTTTTAATATAAATAAAACAGCTTCTAATGAATAGCAAGCAATAGCAAAGGCCACATTCTTAGAAAAGAAACATGGTTGAGAAGTGTCCCAGCTTTTAGCCTACCTTCTGTGTTAAGACACATCAGAGGCAGATGCACACCACCACTTTGGTGACACAGAGACTGCAGACGGTTAAAAAAAACAACTTACTCAACAGAGAAGCTTGGCTGTCAATATCTTAGATGCTTCCAATTAGATCCAGAGATCTATCTTTTAATGAAACCTTAGGCTATTTTTACATACTTATTTGTGTTTATTACAATAAAAAATGTTAATCATGAAGATCAGACGAGCCACTGCCAAAGCTGTCATTTCCATTTCATGGACATACGTTATTAATCTACTTTCTTCCAGTCTTTACCATCCATATTAATGGAATGTCAGCTTAAAAAGTAAAATCTAGGGTAAGAGAAAAATATACGTATTTTTATGATGTATGTTTTAAGACACAATTTTTAGAACTGCAAAATATCTATATTTTTAACATTGTATATGTATACCTACATATTTTGATGGACTACTTGAGACAGCCTAAAAACAAATTAAATGAATCAAGCTTAAACATGAGAAACAATCCCTGAAACAAAATAGGCAGGATTTTAGCTGCCCTAAAGTGCTTTCTAATGCAAAAATTCTCAAGCAGTAAAGATTGAAGGTCAGAAGGTGATAAATGCTGCAAACTGATGCAAAGACCAACAGGAGCACTCATAGTCTATTCTCTGCTTTACGACAGTCCCTAACTCATGCTTTCATATTTACAATATTTTAGCTTGAAACAAAAATACTATGACTAGCATATACCTAGAATTGTTACATTAAGATAGAGATGAAGTGACACTCACAGTTTCAAAGAATGCAGACAAAATCATCTAAATTTCAAAATCTGTTATCAGTGGTACACGTTTTTTCTCCTGTTAGTTTTGTATTCACAATATATGACTAAGTTTTTAGTACTCACAGGCTTACCATCTGGACCAGGCTGACCAGGATAACCATGATTCCCAGGCTGCCCAGGGTCACCCTATGGAGAAGCAATATGATAGCACACAAAATACATGAAAGAGCATTTTAAAATTAGCACAGAGCAACCTTAACCCTAATACATGCCACATAACAGTGGCTGCAAGCCCAGATACCTGCTATCGAGGAGTAATTCCTACAGTAAAAAAGGACTGATCTTGTAACCCCCTCCCTGAGAAAATTCTCCCTAACTTCTTGTGGAGGACTTGGAGAACTGAGCCCATGCTCAGTAACAGCACAAGTTTGGCCTATCATCTCCAATGCTTTCAAGCTTTTTAACGTCTTAATCAACAGAAATGAAAACACTTTTCATCAAATAGATGAAAAAATCTTTATTAAAACCTTGTTAATCTAGCAGTTCTGTTCTGAAGAAAACTCTCACCTGCTTTGGCTGAGTCTAGTTCTTAAAGCAAAAGCATTGGAAAGGCAGAAGCCAGGATTAAAACCTGATAAATACAAAACTCATCTCCACAACTTATTGCTGTCTAAAAAAAGATATTATTTTAGATTTTTTCTTAAAAGGCCTTTGCAATTATTTTAATAACCTCTGTTATGACCACGTTAAAGGAAAAGTTGGTTCCCCAGGCTTCATGTTTACAGTAAGAAAGCAGGAACTTAACTTCCTACTCAATATATCCTCCTAGAGTATTAAAGTTCTCTGTTCATTTTACTAATGGACTTGATTTGAGACCAGCAAAATCCAATAAGACTTGATCTATAAAAACATTTTACTTCTACAGAAGGGTTAAGCAGGTACCACTTCCTTTAGCCTGAACCATCAACAGACCCGTGGGTCAGTTACAGCTGCAGAATTGTTATAAACAGGGAGGACATTAGGAGGGAATTAGGAAACTAGGTTTCAGTGTGACTGTGAAAAAAATCTTTTCACGTATAAACCACAGAAATGCCATCAGAAAGGATGTAGAATAATGTCTTTAGAAAAGTATAACAGTTATAATTTGCTAAATTAATAACAGGTTATCCAGAATTATTATTGTCCAAATTAAGAAGTCCAGGTTTGAGATTTGAGCAAGAATAAATTTGCTTTCTTATGTACTACTTAAACTACGAAATTTTATGCCTTTAACTTGAAAAGGTGAAAATATCAGTTACCTGTACTTTGCAATTGTTTTAATTTAATTAATTTTATTGTACTCCATTAATATCACAAACACACAAATTAAGTTTAAATTTGTATGGTTCTACAGTCCAGTATTCAAAAGTTAAGAAATACTGTAACTAAAATAACCTATACAGTCTTAAACTGGCTTCCTTTTCACTCTTTCTGCAGTCTTTTGTGTTAGGCACCATCTTGTCACCTGTATTATTCAATTATCCCCAAACAAATACTATACTGCAATGCAACTGAAAAATTGCATATGAAGCAGGAATCTAAATAAAATTGTATGGGTCACCCTAATTCTGACATTTCACACTCCTTCATACTTTAGAGGATGTAGCTTTCAATTTTTTTTAAATGATAAATACTTTCTTCTCTCTCTCTCTTTTTTCTCTAATATGCTAAAGAGAAAAAGACTGTAAAAAACCACAAAAATTCTATTACATGAAATAATTACAATATCCATCTTGTGGATTCCAGTTCCATGACTAGAAACCCTCACCACTGTAGTAAAAATTCCTTTCACTTGAGGCAGCTGCAGCAGACTGTCAACCCCTTATATAATGAGAACAGAGGTTTTTTAATCATTTGCTTCATGAAAGAAAACGGTTTGGGGTTTTCTTGTCTACCCTTGTAAGGCAAGCTAGTAACTCTAGAAGCACTGCTTAGCAACTATTGAGAAAGGTACTACAGCAAAATACTAGAGATTTGAGTTTGCCTTGTTAGACATCTGAGTCTCAAGTCTGGTTCTCATTTTAATCCTTCACCAACACTGAAGGGAGGTCACTAGAACAGCTAAGGTGGAACTCTCCCAGTAAGCATCTAGTCCAGTCTTTAACAAAGAAGGAAAAAACTTCTCCATTAAAACACTTTTATTAGAAACCCATTTAATTCTCAAACAATTAACAGTGCAAGATCATTTGCTGAAGAGTAGCAAGGAAACACAATTTCACATCCATGAGCATTTTCCTCAAAAAATAGAAGATATATTTGTGTTACTAAGTGTCATGGGACCAAAACCTGGCCTTGAGGATCCTAATCACTATATTCATGCACTGGAAATGAGCATTAGGAGAACTTCTTCCCTACTTTTTTAATCTGCCTGACTATGACTGGCCAACATGAAATTTGGAAAAAAAAAAAAAAAAAAGTCATATATATGCTCAATATAGACAGAATGGAAACTTACTTTGGGGCCTGGAGGTCCTTGTTTTCCTGGTGGGCATATGCAGGGGGCAGGCGTTGAGCCTACATCACTAGGACCGTTCATGCACTACCAAGAGGGAAAACAGCCATCAATACACATGCCAGAAGCGTTCAACAAACGTATCATAACGTTATAACGTTCCTTAGGTTGCATAGATCCTGTCTTTCAGTCCTTTGCTCAGCTGGAACTCCTGCTTACCTGAATATTGCACTCCAACTACTTTCCATGCATTAATTCATTTTACCCAGAAGAAAAATGAATAAAAAATTTAAGTACTGATACTGGACGGATATCTGAAACTATTTGCTTTTCCACAAATATTTTGTCATATAGTTTGATAAATCTGGTAACATGCAAAACCCTTCTCCTAAACTAATCGATATTCATAATTTGAAGTGTGATCAACTACCAAATATAACTATAATAAAGTTTTAAAAAATAATCTAATAAATATTACGTATAACACAATGACCACAACTGGTGGGCATGCTATCATATGTAGCAAGCCTGAAAAGAACACAAAGCCCAAGTCTCCTGCCTCCTGGGCACATGTCCCAACTATGAAGCTACTTGAGGAAAGGTGGTGCATGGCTGCAACCACCGACTCCTACAAGTCATGAGTCCTGGCACCCAGGGCACCCATCCTCCAAAGACCATTAGGTGACCTCCTCCAAACTATGCTCCTTATACAAACAGCAGTAAACACTATACCTTGGCAGACCACATTACCCTCTAGAGAATTCTTTTGGTTTTTTTTTTTCACATATTTACTTCTCTCCATTAAGACCACATGAAACTTCAGTGTTTTACCAAGGCGGGCAAGGGAGGAGCTACTAGATCAAATCCATTTGCCCAGGGTCAGGGTATTTAGGTCCATCTGTACTAAATTTATAAGCTGAAGTTAGATTCAGTGAATTCTTTTTTACCCAGCAAGTTCTTAAAGCTATGGAAAGGCATAAATTTAAGAATCCAAGATATAAAAAAGCAGATTTCGTATTTATTATCTAAAAGACTTTCTATAACATTTTACTCATATTTCTAAAATAATGCAGACTTTTTACAATGATCTCTGAATGGAATTCTTTCTCCAGGTCAAAAGATTGATCAAAACACAAATTCACGTTTCCTTTGCAATGGTACCAAGGGGAGTCATGAGGATGGTCAGAGAAGCTATGATACTAAACCTTCAAACAAGCTCCCCTCCAGGGAGTTCCCATTAGCATGATGCAGGTAACAGCTACCTGACTGTGCATACCCCCATTCACTTTGCAAAAGCATCCAGCCCTGCAAATAAGAGCAATTGCATTGAACCACGGAAAAAAATCAGGCTGTTTATTCTAATAAAGATGGGTTTTTTCAGAAAACTGATTTTTAACTTGTCTGTTGACTAGAGTTCAATTGATGGAAATCCAGCGCTTTTTATCTTAGCAAACCTCCATCCACTTCTCAAAACAAAGTGTATATTCCCTAGAAGAGTAAGAAATTTATATAAAGTCAAATACTACCTTAAAGTGAGTTTGAGCAGTTTAGGATTGAGCCTACCTCTCCATTCTGAAACAAGAAGAAATGCAGTTTAAGAGTAGAGCAATATTTGTAATAAGCAAAATCTATTCATTTGTAAACACTCCCAAAACCAGTCATAAAATTTAAGGCTGTAACTGCCAAAGAATTATAATTCAAAATTTTATACTTTCTCAGACTTATGTGCAGCTGCCATCCATGCGTATGAATTTTTAGTTCATTTCATTTAAGGTTCATTTCAACAGGAGGTACCAGTTTTAGTTCATTTCAACAGGAGGTACCAGTAGCAATTCTTAAAAGGTGATGACAAAACTAGAACTAATACTGAACCATGTAAATATTTACATGCTAAATGTTTAGATTTGGGTCAAATCTTTTTGCTAGGAGTAACTTCTCATCAAAAAAATCCTCTGCTTACTCATTTATGTCAGAAAATGTAGCAAAACATTTCTAAAATCTCAGCTCTCTGCCTGTATCCAACATCTGGGAAAACATACAGCAGCACAGAGGCAAGGCTGGCTTTTTCTCACTATCCTGTGTGACTGCATTAGACTCTACTATCAATTGAATTGAGTTTTCCAATATCTGCAACACCACAGAATAATCCATCCCCAAATATTTCAGCATACCAACCATGAAATTGTCTGTCTTAATGGTTTAGTAGCCACCATTAGCTGCACCATGTACGGGAGTTTTCTAATGCACACAGTCACCACAAACTTCGTACACAGCCTGTGGAGACAGACAGCTTCCTCTGTATTCAATTTTCATCTTAGGCAACCTGTAGAGAAGGTTATCTTTCTCCACAGATCATAGAGGGAGCTTAAAATTACTACCAGCTAGGTATCTCTGGGAAAGAGGATGAATTCAAGCTGTAATTAGTACATACAGGTCCTGCTTAGGTCAGGAGCTCTGACACAGCCACACTCTGACAGAATACAACCATAACCACATATTCCTCCTTGGAGATCCTCCAACATTTTTATTCTCTGAAGGAATTCAGAATTTCATGGGTAAAGTCCAAATTTAATTCACAACAGCAAGTGAAACTAAACTGGTAAAACCCAATCTTTTTCCTTGGACTTGCCAAATCACAGAGAATGCAAGATACGATGGACTTTTTAGTGTTTGCTTTCTTTATGCAAAAATTTGTTTCATTTGCTTACTTTTCATGTCCTACTTCTATTTTGTAAAGAGCAAAAAGATATGCGGTGCAGTTAAATAGCAGATACTAAATATACTAAAAATAGTCAATTACAAACGTGTTCCTGACCCCATTAGTTCTTGACACACACAGTCAGATTTCAGAACAGCTAATAATCCAGCCACCCACTCACTGCTTAAATGAAAGCTGTGAGTTTTGAAAAAGCCCTAATAAGGGTGCTTATTGCAACAGATACACTGGCCCCAAACAAACAGAAGAGAAACAGACTACCTGGGGGTCTGTGCAAGTCTGACAAAAAATAAAACATCTGGATGTTGAAGATTCAGAGGTTCTATTGGCAAACTGGCAAAACGGTCCTAATACTAAACCAAATCATAATGTGAAGAATATGGGTTTACATAGTAAGACACTGGTGTCTGATTATCTTTAGCTCAGTTTGGTTTAGACAGCAAAGGAGGGCATTTTGAAGGAAACTGTACATACAAAACAATCTCTTGCTTATATTTTGAGATGGTAGCTGAATGCTTTTGAAAATCTGGCTCCACTGTGTGTCATGAATGGCTTTCAAATCTGTTTGCATGTGCTTTCAATTTCATTGCATAATTAACCGTAAGTAAGAGGGCAAAGAGAGGGTCAAAGGATCCCCGTAAGCTTCCTAATGGTGTAACGACTCATAAAATCCTGAACAGGATTTTACTTCTGTCTTATCCATAACATATTTCATGAAATCTTGGCGACATTTCAGTTAATGGGATGTTTAACAGAGACATCAGCATAGATACTTCTGATAGGAAAAGGTCATTTGAAAATATAGTTTCATTGGTTACGTATAAAACTTTCAGAAATGAAATGACCTGACAAGTAGCATGAAGCGTATCAGATAAGTTAAAAAGTACTATTTAAAGTATTTTACACTGCTGTAACCTAGTAGTTTCATTAATTTATAATGTTCACAATCTTCAGTTGTAACAGAAGATTCTGAGATTCTTCTATACTGCTGCCAAATTTCCACCATCAAATATCTAAACTAAAAAAAACTTTTAAAATATGTTTGTGCAAAAATAAGGCTGAAAACAGACAAGTTCTGTGTCACTTGATATTGCACAGGTAACAAGCATTTGTTTGCACCAGCTGAATCAATGTAGTATTATTTATTTTAAGAACTCATTTAGTCAGCTTTAAACAGTGATTTCTAAAAAAAATGCCAAGTAGTCCTCAAAAATTCATCTATCATACTCACAAATCCTGGGATCTCACAGACTGTTTCTCGATTATTTTGCTCTGGGTCACAGTAGATTCGCAGTTTTTGTATATCAAACTATAATTCAAAACACAAAAGACTTTTTTTAGAGAAAGTGTTAATAGTCTGACATTGTTAGTTTAAACTATACTTTTCTTAAATTATATCATCCACAAGTTTAAAAAAGGAACAAAATATTAAAAAAAGAACAGGAGAAACTGGAAGCTTTGTGTGTCCGCTACAGTTACAAATCAATTAAAGTTTTAGTTAGGCTGCTCACAATTATTAATATGTGCAAATAATTAAACATTCTGTAACAGAATTATCTAGAGGAAAATAATCAATCCAAGACTTTCTTTTCTAAAATAATAGAAATCACCACCCCTGATCCTTGGCAATAAATCCAAACACGCACAGCACGAATTACAGCAGCTGCCAATATCACTGGGAAACAGGTTACAACTGCACAGGCAAAACCAACCTTTTCTTTTTTATGTTAAAAGTCCTGGGAAGACGTTTCTACACTGCCCTGTCCCTATTAGATGTAAGATTAGTAAGTTTTGGTGAAGCATCAGAAAGCATCCCTGAGGCTTGAAAGAATTTGGTTTAGAGTTTAGCTGCATAACATAAAGCTTTAAAAAGCAAAAGTCCACTATCAAAAGAGGTTCTTATACAATCTGATGTTCCTAAAGTGTTTTCATTTTTATTTTAGATAACATGTCTTCCTACAAACATTCTTTAACTCAGAAACTATTACTGGAAACCTATAAAAGTCACATTTCTGCAGTGACTTAAGAGAAAAAACAAGACACAACAACAACAAACCAACCAACCTTCTAATCCTAGAATGCACAAAACTACAGAAAAGCTATAATCCTGCACCAACCAAGAAAATACATGAGATGACTGATTACAATTCTGAAATCTCTACTTTCCTTGCAATAAGTGCGTGAAGTCCTACCAGAAATCTGTGACAAACATTCAGCAGTTTTCACAAAGGGGGACTTCAGCCTAGGGACAATGTTATCACCAGAAATGCTGAGTCACACAGACAGCTTGCCATCCAAGTTTCCACATACGCTTTTAGAATATGATAATAATAGAACGGAAGCCTGGCTACAAACACACAAAATTCAGGACTAACTGAGTAAAGATATCTGAGAAGAGTTAATGAAGATGATGCCAAACACATCAATGTATTTACTAGAGGCAGTTAAAGATCATGAAATTAGAGTACAAAAAAAGTATAGCTTTCAAAATAACTAAAAATAATGTTTATTTACGTAAAGAATTCAGTATTTCTTAGTATTGTTTCCATTACTATCAGTCTAAATAGTAATGTAAATACCACATTGCTATAAATGTAAGGAAACAATCTATTTAGCCAACGTTGGAATATTGCCAACATAATAGACTTCACCACTGGTCTACACAGCGTTCACCTATACAGCCTGAAGTTTTAAACAGCTTTTTGGTGTCTGAAAAGAGCTGAAGGCAAAAGGACTTTAACATTCTTCAGAACAGAGGAGAACCTTGGTACAGGATTTCCAGGGAGGGTTTCCAGCACAGCAGAATGAAACAGTGGCAGTTTGAGTATCAAATATTTGCAATACAACAGAAACAGAGTTGATACACCTTGTACTTTCAAGACAGCTAGTGATGAGAAAGAAACTTCATCAAAATTTTGTTCTCTCCCTCTTTTACCAGCATAACCCATACACTGATGGAAGGAAATGATACGCAAGTGTCAAACACATTGGAAATACCCTGCTTTGAGACGCTGTTTCCCAAATTCAGGCGACCACGTTGCATCAAATTTGTGTTTCAGCAAATACAATGCTCCTTGAGTCAGTGAGACAATTAAGCACTCACTGCACAGGATGTATCCGTTGTGCTGAGTCCTCCTGACCATTTACATTCCCTCTTAACTATTACAATCTTGTATATTAAATTTCAGCCTAATGTAAACTAGAAGAGTAAGTTCAAGAAAACAGAAGGCACCAATGCAATGCTAACCTACAGTAGAATTTCTGAATTATTGTAGGTTTAGTATATGCTTACCTGTACAGTTTCCTCCTTTCCAGAATACTTTCCTATTTGGGTTAGGCCACTGATGTAAATACCTAAAACAGGATGTAATGTCTTCATTTCAATTTCTTGGTCATCTATATACAAAGTTACAAATTCTTCTGTTACTAAGAGACGAATTTGATGCCAGCCTTCATCAAATAATGTCTAAGAAAAATGAAGAAAATAGAATTGTTTAAAACAAAATGTCTTCAATTTAAACAACAATAAATCTATATTTCAATACTTAAACTACTCTTAATGGTTGAGATGATCAATGATCCAGGTTTTGTAATACAAAAAATTGCAAACTGAACACGCAAAAAAGTATTTGCCAAGTAATATTACAATTGAGAAGAGAATATTTGGTAATAATTAATCCCTATTTCAGAATCATTTTATAATTCACATATATTTTTTCAGTCTATGATCTTGAACATGCTCAAACCTGTATTTGTCAAAAACTTGAAGCCAGAGGCCTTTATTTCAGAGGTGGTGTAATGTCTCAAACACTTCAGATCTTAAATCATGGTGAAAAGAAATTGCTACTTGAAAGTCTTTCTACTTAATCTCTTATCAAAACAGTCTTAAAGACAACATGACATTGACAGAAAGAATCTCAATATTGCAATGAATAAACCACATATTACATTCACCATCACACAAAACCTCAGGTTTCTAAATCTTAAGATTTAGTTTAAACAAATAGTTCTAGAAGTAATAGAAAATTAGATAGCTTTAAAGAAGTATTTATCTCACCTACTTTAGAAATGAAATTCAACACGGGAAGAAATGCCTTCTTCTTGAGCCTATCCATTAATTTCAAAAACAATCTAGCTCTTTAGCCTAGACTAGCCTAGTTGCTATCTTTTATATAGCTAAATTTGATAGAGATTAATCCCACGCTAAATTGGTACACATAAGAGTAAATTGAAACATACATCTTTCAGCATGTTATGTATTTTTGTTACCTTTTGCAGACATAAACAGAAAATAAGTTTACTTCACTTAATAGTATACACCCTTAGCACCTCTGTTTCTATTTTCATTTGTAGGTTGGGTTTTTATTTCCAGGTCAAGGGAGGTGATTCTGCCCCTCTACTCTGCCCTGATGAGACCCCATCTGGAATACTGCGTCCAGTTCTGGAGCCTCCAACACAAGAAATACATGGAGCTGTTGGAGCAAGCCCAGAGGAGGGCTACCAAGATGGTCAGAAGGTTAGAACACCTTTCCTATGAGGACAGGATGAGAGATTGGCCTTGTTTGGCCTGGAAAAGAGAAGGCTCCGGGGAGACCTTATAGCAGTCTTCCAGTACCTGAAGGAGGCCTACAAAAAGGCTGGGGAAGGACTTTTTACAAGGGCCTGCAATGATACACAAGGGGTAATGGTTGGAAGCCGGGAGAGGGCAGGTTTAGACTAGATACAAGGAAAAAGTTCTTCACCCTGAGGGTGTTGTGACACTGGAACAGGCTGCCTAAGGAAGTTGTGGATGGGTCCTTCCGGGAAGTGTTCAAGGCCAGGCTGGATGGAGCCTTGAGCAACCTGGTCTGGTGGAAGGTGTCCCTGCCATGGCAGGGGTGGTGGAACTCGATGATCTTTGAGGTCCCTTCCAACTCAAATCACTCTGTGATTCTATGATTTATTTACAATGGCTCTCATTACAAGATAAAATAAAGAACAGATCAGAATATATAACATTTCCATTTTCCTGAGTGAAAGTGATAAATTATAATAAAGGTTTATTAAATAAAAAGGTTCATTAAAAGCATAGTGACTTTTATAGTGTGTTTAGACATACAGCTCTAAAAAGGGCATAAAATTATTGTTTTCCATAATAGCAATACAAACATGGAGAAACACAAAGGAAAAAAAAAAAGCAAGTCTTCTTTCATGGTGAAGTTTATGGATCTCTGGGACTGCGGGAATAAGATTGATTTGTCACTGTAGCTGCCAGAAACAATTAAATACAAATTTCTGGATTGACTTGAAACGGAATTTTCTAACAACTTAGAGTAAATTAACTCCTTATTAAAGAAATAAAATTCTTTCACCCACAAATAATCATATAAAGGCAGAGGAAATTCAGAAATAAAAATTAAAATTCTCCATCCAATAACAGAAAAATAATATACCTCTCCCTCGCAAAAGCTTAGTAGTTAAGACCTTCTCTTGGACAGAAGTCCTTCCTTCTCTGAGGATTTATATTTCAAATTCCTTCAGCCTGATCTGGAGTAAGGATTCAAATGCAGGCCACTGTTTCCCAGAAAAGTTGAACCCACTTGGCCATGAAGCTCTCCAGCAGTAAATCTTTCCCACTCTTTGTCTGCTGAAGCATCCCTCTTTGTTCACTTAAATAATACTCCCTGAGGTAGGAAAGGGAATCTCTGGGCTGCATATTCTCATACTGCTACAAATGCAAGAGTAGAGACATTCAATCACCTTCCTCTGCCTCACCTACAACTGAGACAATCTTTCTTACAAGAGTTGAATATTTCACTGGAAATCACTGAAGAAAAACTGAAAGAGAACCTTTAGAGTACACTAGAAGACAACCAAATTGGTTTGCACAAAGAGGGGAATCCCTTCAGTGAGAAAAATAAGTAGCTGAAAGGAATTTTATGCAACAGAGAAGCAAACAAATTCAGATTGAATTCTCATTTTGTAAGTGGCTCTTTACTCTTCTGTAGAAGAAAGTAACTTCTGTAATTACATATTTTTAAAAAATTTAGACACTTAACAAAAAATATCTCTAAAATGGACTATTTTCATTCATATTCTCTAGTCTCCATATCAAAGGCAGAAAATAGTTTCCAGTATATGTCAAGCAAAGAGCTGTGTGAAAAAAGGTCTCTGTAATCTTCACAATTGCCTGCTGGAAACTACTGAGTAGAAAGCACCTGCAAAGCATTTATGGTGATGATCACTGTGGACACTCTGGAAACATAGGTAAAGTACTCCCCATCTATTTTTAAATGCCTAAGCAGCCAAAAATAAGACCATGCATTTTTACAAAACATAAAGGGCAAAGGAAGAATGCGTACTTAAATGACTATTCCAGCATGATGATGACTTACTCCTTACCTTTACACGAGGTGCAGCAAAAGTAATAACTTGTGTGCCATTTATTAAACTTGTTGTAGTGAATGATAATGTTTTCTCTTCTCCATTAATAGTGACTGCTATCTGTGGTCTCTTATCCAGACTTAGAATTCTCCACAAATCCCATGTCTTTTTCACTTTAAATCTTTGAGTGGAAACAAACACATAGGATGGAGGCAGACCTTCTGGAAACACATTCCTAAATGAGGGGGAAGGGGACAAAAACACAGTACTTGAACATTCCTATGAACCTTAAAATAAATGTCTCTCACTTTAGGCAAACAAACAAAAAACTTACTAAATTTAGAAGTGTTTATAAACTTAAATACCTTGTCAATTCTGACAGGTCAACACGTGAGGTTACTTCATAAGCTTTTGCATTAGTGGTTGGTATTTGAATTCTCTTTTTAACCTTTTTCTTCACACCTAATCCTACAAGAATGTCAAATCCTTTTTCATCTCGAGCTGCCACTGGAATTCTTGTTGGACAAACAGATTCTGCAAAGTAATAAATGCAAGCATAGTTCAAAATATGACTTAAAACTTTCAAAAAGTAACCTCCCACCTACCTAATTTTTTGTAGCTGACTTTCAAGAAATAAAAGAGAATTGAGAACTGCCAGTTAAGCATAACATAAGAGAAGTGACATGCAGAATCCTCAGAGACATGAAGTGAGAATACTGAGATGTCATATTTTACTGCAATTATGTTCACACACTATTTTGAATTAATACTAATTGCAGTTAAAAGGTATTACAATATCTGACTAATAATATCGAATTTAATTTCTAAAATTGTATTGTTTCAAAATGCTACAAAATTATAAATGTTAATTTTAATGATACACTAATTTAGATTAATCCAGCATCCCTCCCAACTATAAAATCAGGTTGAAAATGGATAAAGGTAGAATTATCTGCAACTATTTTTTTCAGCTTCTTCTGCTCAAAATGGACTCTGATCTATTTTGTCCGTTACACTGAAATCTGCTCGAAGCTATTCTCCCTGGACAAATATTCTGTGATATATTTTCTGTGGAAACTAGAGTTAGCTGAGTGTTTAATTCTCCTTATACAAAAACAATACTAGGCAGTGGACCAAAGTTGCCTCAAAAAAAAAAAAAAAAGTGAGATAGCAGAGTAGAATTTAATGCTAAAGCCAACATTGTATCAGACTAATAAATCAATTAAAAGAAAGCAAACAACTTTTTGTTTATTAAAATTACACTAAACTATTTACAATAAATACATTTTCATCATTCATTCCCCATTGTTTCTTCAGAAAATCATCAGTTCATAAAAAGGGAAGAGGTTAGGAATACATTCCAAAGAAGGGGTGGAGAGTTGTCTCATCTCCATGTGGACCAGCCACAGGCTGGAAAACTCATGTTTCAGTGCCAGGGAATTATCAGCTCAAAGGTCTAGACTGGCTTCTCTTTAGAATATAAGCAATGCTACACAGTTTCTCTTTCAACCAACCCAAGGGCAGTCAGAAGCTACCCCTTTCTGGTGGGCCAGCAGGATATACAAACTCCAAGAAAATTCAAGTAAGCAATTGCACAAACTACCTATGGTGGGAAAGGACAATCCACCCTAAGGGGACATGCCACAGGTACCTGGGGCAGCAGCAAGAAGCCCTGTACATTCCCCTTAAGTTTTCTTTTCCAGCCCACATCAAAATGCCACCTGCCTCCCAAATTAAAAATACATTAAAAGTTATCTGGCTGGTTCTACAAGAAAGAATTGCAAGGATTCTCTGCCTACGTTTTGGAAACTAAAATGTCTATCAACCAAATGTTTCCCAAAAAAAAAAAAAAAAAAAAAAAAGGAAATACGAAGTCCAACACAACATTCCTTCTCACTCTTCTCAAAACACAGATGCAGGATTTAAGTCAACATATTTATGATATTAAGTAAGAGTAATAACAAGTTATTTTTACAGGTTTCTTCACTGTGCATTCTTATCATGGAAACATTTTCTAAACTCATTTATTTCAAAGCTGAATAACAGTCATATTGCCACTAATACAAATTACAGATAATCATATACACTGACAAGAAAATGAATGCAAGAATCTCTGGTCAGTTACAGTATTAGAAATTTGATGTAAAATCAAAAAATAAATACAGAAATAGGATTACTTTATGTGAGAGGGCCATTATTCTGGATCATTGCCAAAGTAACTGTTCTAAACCAGTACAATACAAATTAAGCATCTGTAAAATTATGCATTAAGTAAGTATCCTTCATTTCCAATGGCACATTGAAGAACTACATCAAAACATTTCTAGTAAGGTAGATCTTTTTTGGGTCTTCTGTAACATCTTCTGGCAGGACTATTTTTAATAACTAACTGAGCCATTATACAGAATGCAGAAGTCAGTGGCAAAATAAGGACTGCCCTCCATGGGAAACGGGGTTGTGCAGTGCATAGTACAAGACACAGCAACTCTGTAGCCTATACTGAAATCTTGTTCCCTTTTAGTGTTTTTATACAGTTTTCAGATGGTTTATTTTTCCTTCCTGAAGCATGAAATAACTTTCTGATGTTAAATCCCATTATCTAACACAAAGGAACTTTTCTCAGCATCCTCCAGACATACTTCTGAGGTCTGCATTCAGTATTGTTTATAAATATGTTCCTGACACACAATCTTTTCTATATTTTTGCTAGAGAATATTAATACTACAGGAACATTTGACTACCAGAATAAATATTAAATATTCCTTAAATATTTGCGGACTCTTTTAGCCCCATTGTCCTCTCCGGATGACAGGTTCAGCCGGCTTTTTCATCCTGCTGTATTCTAAAACAAACACTAGAGTTATCATAGAATCATAGAATTGTTAGGTTGGAAAAGACCTGTAAGATCATCAAGCCCCACTGTCAACCCAACACCACCATGCCCACTAAACCATGTCCTGAAGTGCCACATCTACCTGTTTTTTAACACCTCCAGGGATGGTGACTCCACCACCTCCCTGGGCAGCCTGTTCCAACATGACTACTCTTTCGGTAAAGAAATTTTTCCTAATGCCCAATCTAAATATCCCCTGGTGCAACTCGAGGCCATTTCCTCTTGTCCTATCATTAGTTACTTCGGAGAAGAGTTCCTAAAAGCCCTCCATCTGCAAGGCTGTTTGTAATAGCATTGCCTGCTATACAAGCCACTAAACCTTACCCTCTTTTCTCCAGAAAGGAAATACTGCCCCTATGCTCTTACACCTGTGGTCACATAGTAACAAAGTTAAAAACGCCACAGAGTATAGGCTAGCATTCTTTTTAGACATTAAAACAAAGACAATCAAGACAGAACTGCAAAATTTTCACGCAGTTTCATGCCGTTGATCACAGGAAAACCATTGCTGCTTTGCCCTCATTGAACTTCCTCTCCCAGAGTCAAAGTGAATCTTAACAACACAAATAAAATAATCCACCACTCAGATATAAAGTTTCCAGTTTACTAGTCTTTCAGTTCACCTGCTAAAGACATTGCAGTTAGAAATGAAGCTGCCAACTAGCTCTGATCACTCTTTGAGAGAGGCAACTCAACGCTAACGCAAGGGAAGACCGCAACGTAAAAGAGTGGAAGCAAAAGGTCACTTAAAGTAAAACAGAAGTACACTTTCGTATGCATAGTCAACATTCGCAGATTACGGCTGTAAGAGTCCTGTCAAATATTGCAGCCAAATTTTAAAGGATACTATTAACTTAATTCTGAAAGCAGAAAATCCACCTTGATGAAATAATACGTCACTTCTTCTAATCTTTATTTAAAGAAAATATTGTGTTTACTTTGGGGAATTTCCCCCTGCATGAAGTTTTATTAAAGAATTTAGCTGCACTTAGCTGATTTAATTCTTGGACTGACCACCTTACTACATCAGCCACAAGGAATTATTATGATTTTCATAAGTGTATCAAGAAATAAACACTATTATCCTCAACATAAGTATCACCATATCTTTTCAATGAAGTCCATACTCAAAGTGAGAGCAAATAAAAACTCTTTTTCATTCTTACTAAGTGCAAAATCATGGAAGAACTGAATATATGACTTGCATCATTCTTGGTAATAAAACATGTACAAAATAGCACTTATAAATATTTGCTGTATAATAAGTCCTTCTGAGTGATGTATTTCAGAAGTAATTTGCTAACTTTTTATGTATATATGTATGGGAAAGCCATTGTTTCACAAAGTTACCAGAAAACTCAATGCAGTATGCTGCTAACGTTCTAAAGCTAAAAAGTCATTTTACAATGTTGCTCTTGGCAAATTCTTCCATAAAATCCTTCTAAAAAAGATTATAACAGCTTGTTACAATTCCAAGCACTTTTGCCAAGAGTCTTTCTTCTGGGTTTTTCAATACGTACTAGCGGAAGAACTCCTGTTTGTAATGATAGGCTATCCTCTCAACTGTCAAGAAGAAATACTAGATTGTGGTATCAGCTGCACCTAGGAAAAGTATAAAGTAAGCCCTATGTTCTCAGCACTAAGAGAATTGCTCAATAGTTTAGGGTTTATAACCTTTACCAACGCAAAAAATTTGGGGCTTGGGGCAAAATGCAACATACTGAAATTAAACACACCCTGTGTTAAAGCATCATCTCTTTCCCAAAGATACTTCTTTGTCTAACAGAGAAAACTTTTGGGGAGTGATTTCCACAAAGAAGATCATAGTAAAGAATATCAAGTGCATCAGGCTACATTAATCATGCATTCTGCTTACAAAATACAGAAATATGGGAACAGAACTACATTCTGCACACTTAAAATATTTTATACTCACTTACCTTCACAGAGTTTCTGCTTTATAACTTCTTTAATTCTTGATATTGCAATATAATCTTCAACATAAAATACGTAAGTTGATGAAGGTTTGTTAGCAATAGCTTTAAGTTCTTCCTCCTCAATTTCTGAGCCAACACCAATAGCAAACAGAGTGATTTTATTTTTCCTTGCTTCTGCTGCTACATCTTTGACTTCATCTTGGGATTTTCCATCAGTGAGAACAACTGCTATTTTTGTTAAAAATCTTGAAGATTTTGCAAAAAGATGGTCAAAAGCAAACTGAATAGCTCTTCCTGTTCTTGTATTTCCTCCCAAATAATGTATGGACTCCATTTCCCTGACAAGGTTTTCGGTGGATTCATGAGTTCCAAGGGGAATTTCAAGTACAGGGTAATCACTGTACTGGACAACTCCAACTTGAATAAACTTTGGCCCTATGTCAAAATTTCTTGTAATATTGACAAGCCAGCTTTTGATTATTTCAAAGTTTTCTGGGCCAACACTGTAAGAGCCATCTAAGATAAAAACTAAATCCGCAGGGGCAGTTCTGCAACCTAAAAAAAAAAAAAAAAACACCCACAAAAATCAAACACGTATTTTAATTAATTTTTCCACTATCTTCTTCCACAAGAAATATTTTTCATATCAATTACTGTTTATATTAGAATCTATACTGACAGATAAATTTCATTTAAAAAAAAAATCAGCTGAGTTTATCACAGAGAACAAAGCTATTTCTGTAAGCCATGCAGATCCAACTTGGTATCTGAAAACCATACCATTTTCTGGTTTTTACATTATCACCAGAAACAACAACGAAAATTTCTGGAATTTAGTTCCTTAGCTGGCAATTGCATTTCATGCAATCAGCAGAGATGAATACATTTTGGTTTTTTCCATATTTTTTTGTCTGCAGAGATGATAAACATAAAAACTCATTTTTGTTAGCAAACCAAGCACACTGCAGAGGAAGGCTATAGTCTGAATACTCCAGAATACAGCAGCAATATCCAATCCTTTTGCAAATACATTTTAATCAACTTCTGACACTGCTACATGGCACTTATAGAACTAGTTATTAGAAAATCCTGAGTCTCAGTTGAATGTTGCTGGTAGTATATTCTGACTTTAGTATTAGAAAAACGCTCAAGGAAGGAGCTCAACCTCCAGACTAGAAGATCACGTAAGCATTTAACAAATATAACGTAACACCGTGATGACTTAGGCATGGATTCAGCTCTCCTAGCTGTAGTCACTTATAAACAGAGCTTTTAGGCTAAATTGCCAACTACAGGCCATGGACTGACATAAGCATTTCTACAGGACAGTCCTATCCATCTTATATGCACATCCTCAGATGGAGGGAATAACTCACTAGAGGAAAGAATCAACCTTCCATCAACTGCGAAAGGAGCTTAGAACGTGTCACTGTGGCCAGAGCAAAGTTTTCCATACTCTTTTTATTCAGCCATTTTGTCTTTCAAAAAGCTACTTTGCTTTAACTTTTTCCTTTTACATAAACCAGATTTAAAGTGTAAAACCTGGTTTAGTGGGGTTTGAGATGCTAATTTTGAAGAATATGCAAGAAGTTCTGTCCCAGAGCTGAGGTTATCTCAGCTTCCTCTCACAGAAACTGTATTTTTCTTATTTAGTTTCTCTCACATAACATTAAGCTATTCAAAACATGACTTGTGAAGAAATGAAAATATAAATACTCAAGACACAAGTTTAAATCAAGACTGGAGCTTCACAGTTCCATCTGCCCCCTTGGGCATTTCCAAGACACAAAAAGAAATAAAGACATTCCCTTCCCAAAGGAGAAAGAAGACACTTAAGTTACTTATCATGTATTATATGATTTTCACGAGAAAAATTATACTAGAAAAAAATCACCATCAACAGAAGTGTACATGAGGACAAGAAAATGGATACTATAATTTCAAGGCATGCTTTGAAGTTGCCCTCATCTGAAATAAAAATTAAGACTTACTTGCTCTTGTTTCCCCATCTTCAGCTGAGATGTAATCATGAAGTAGCAGAATTAATAGCATCTGAAAAAATATTACAATCTGTGCCATGTGTATTTATTTTCAAAGTCTTGAGGTTAAACTAGATGGGGAAGAAATTAAAAGAAAATACAGTATTATTAGATTACAAAACAAATTCAAACTTCTGTGTTTTAAAACACAGGCATGAGGAACAACTTCGGATCAAAGAAGATGTAAGGCCAGCCTGCAATGGACCATAGACCCAAAAATGTCAATCAGGCATGTAAGCCCGAAATTGAGATTCTAAACTCAACAACACTCACCAGCCTTTCTGTGGAAGCTTAGTTTTCACCAATGCACACTGATACATTTCTGCTAGGTATGTACATGAGCAGGTTATATTCCCAGTCCCAGTCACACTTGTCCAACCACTATCCCGTTCTGCAGCCATTATGCGAAGACTTGACAGCTACTGCTCCAAAATATGGTAAGTGTTTATGTATGCACTGGTGGGGAGATGTTACTTCAGTCTCAACCCACACACCTGGCTACTTCAGGGAGTCTAGGACACTTCCCATCCCTCTACCCCAGGGTTGAGACTGCCACCAGGAGTCAGGGTCTCAGTAAGCCCCAGCCCTCTCCCAGCAGAGCCAAGCCCTGCAGATTGTGTACCATAACATCCAAGGTTACATAAATTATGTGCATTTGCAACTTCTGATTTTTTCCTCTGTTTATGTATCATGATCTCTGAATTATACCCCCAAAAGGGTCCTGAAGGAAACATGCAATTTTGGTTTCATGTTGCTCTCATAAATATTTCTTGACAAATTTACTTAAATTTAGCCATATTTATTCCTTATGCTTATTGCAAAAAAAATAGAGTCATAATGGGAAAAGACACATTTTTGGAGTACTGTACTAGAGACCCATTCATTTCAAGACTCTGAAAAAGAAAGAAGTATACTGAATCTCTTTTGTATTCTGTCTTCTCATCCTCCAATGCAAAATGCAATTTTTCTAACTACATTTTATCCTCTACTACAAAACATGAACACCCTGACAGAAAAAGGGAGGATTAAATGCTGGTCTGAGTAAGTACATCCAATGGTGACAGAACTGGCATGGGTTGCCCAGAGAGGCCGTGGAGTCTCCATCCTTGGAGATACTCGAAAGCCATCTGGACACTGTCCTGGGCAACTGGCACTAGGGTTTGTACCAGATGACCTCCAGAGGTCCCTTTCAAGCTCAACCATTCTGTGACCCTTTGATTTCTACTAAACTATGTGAAGTGGTACTTGTTCATGTAAGCGGAGATTTGGGCAATCAAATGTCATGAATATAACAGAGGACAGAATTTTACAATTACTTATATCTATCTTTGCATATTTTAACACTTTTTTTCCCCATTGAGTTATTTGGTTTGCATTCAGAACAACATTGTCTTTGTGCTGCTCAGTAGTTGGGAACCAACCCACTTCTAAATTTTCCCGTATTTATAGGAAAATCTCTAAACCATGAGAAAAAAAAAAAAAAAAAAGCTAAATTCAGGACAAATTTTCAGTAGCTGTTCAGCACCAATTCATTGCACTACCCTTCAGTGTCACTAACTTAAGTATTCTACATCTAGCCAGAAGACTAAATATTCGTCTTCCCTCTAAAGGCTTTGCTTTGTCAGTCATGTTAGTCTTTATCTCTTACACACTAGTTTATCACTAACATTCTTGCTGCTTTTTTCAGCCCATTTCCTAGAATTGAAATGTCTTCCTTGAATAAGGCCAAGACTCCTTCCCTTTTCATATCTTTTTCTTTAGTCATAAACCTTTACTTATGCCCACAAGAAAATGATCTCCACACTCACCAAAAAGTTCAAATATAAATGAAAATATTTATTACACAACAAAATTAAAAGTCAATATACTGGGGGGGAATTGTGTGTTTATGAATGCTGTGTGTATTTGTCTTTTTTATGTTGCTAATCTTTAATTTTGACCTCTTTAGGATAGACAAGGTGTCCACTACATTACCAGTAATAAGGTACTGGCAGATGTTCTGCAACTTCTGTAGTGCTGGAAAATACTATCCTCCAAAAATACACCAAAACACAATTCAGTATGCCTATTGCAAGTGCCTCTTAGGAGAAGAAAGAAGAAATAGGTAAATGGAAATACGCAACAATTTTCTTTTCCAAGAATACTCAAGGGAGTAAACTGAAGAGGATGCCATTTAATTACTATAACATACTGAGCAGCCTTCAAGCAGCCAGTAACCTGTTATCTGCAACAAAATTTGACAGCAATTAAATGTAGACCTTTCTCTTTATAGTTTTATATACCTGACATGATGTTTTTAGAAAAATTATATGGGAAATTTTTTATTATTATTACAGAGTTGTGGAGGCAAGACAATAACAAGTATAGAGTTAGTAATTTCAATGTCAAGTTCATTTCTGGTAGATTTACGATCTCTATTTGCCAAATAGAAGATGTGCCACAAATAAGTAAGTTGATTTGCTCTGGTTTTTCAGTCAGCTGCTTTGCTTTTTCCACTGCTTATCCAGCACTCATTCCATTAAGACCAAAAAAAAAAAAAAAATTATCTCCACAAACAACCTCAAGAAATGCACAAAAGTCAGTTTTCTTGAAATTATACTCCTACCTAATATAATGCCCCAAAGTTAATAATGCAAAATCATAACTATTATGTTATGAAATATCACCTTCAGATTACAGGTAATTGCGATGTAACACCGTACTTTGTACTCATATTACCTTGTGTCAGAAAGGGTGAGAAAGCAGATAAAGCACTTTGGGGTCTATGGGATAGGACATAAGACGCACTGTTCCAAGATGCTACACAAATACTGGGATGTCAACTTCATTTAAATAGATTAAGCAGCAGTTTCTTGTCCCAACTATTTGAAAAAGGATCTGTTTAAACTATGAAATTAAGTGTACAAGTAACAGGCATGTAATACATGAGGAAATCTTACCATAGTAGAAGTGGACAATTTACACTGATTATTTCAGACTTGATGGTTTGTAAGATTCATCATTTCAAAATCACTTTCAGCCTTTTCTGTGACAAGTGTTTACAAAGGGTAAAACACATCTCTCATGAGGCCAAATTGAGCAATACCAAAGAAGAAAATATGAAATTAAATCTGTGGGGGAATTTGAATAGCAGGTAAGCAAAGAAGGACAACTGCATTTTTTTAGGAATACCAAAAAAATGTCAGCCTATAACCGAAAAAAAGACAGACTACTGTACAGAGAGCTGATATGTATCAAAAAACTACAACACTGAGCTCCAACAAACTATAAAAGCTTATAGATTCCTCCCACTAACAACCCCAAAAGTAAAAGGTCCAAAAAACTGATAAGGAACTTCTGATGTTTGTCATCTCCGGGGTTATCTAGACAGTTACTTTATATAAAATCTATAGAATTTACATAAAAGGAAAATAAAAACCAAACAACTTAGTGACTTCACAGCATCAGTCTTCACTAAAAAGAGTACCTGGACTGCTACCATTAATATTGCACCATTTTTGAAAATAAAACAGCACACTAAATCTACAAAATTATTTTAACAACTGCAGCACAAAACCTGTATGTGCTCCGTGCCATAAGCACAGGCACTTCAGGTCAGGCAGGGACACCGGGATCCTGCTCGCTGGTGCAGCTCTCCTTTCACTAACCCCTGTAGAAGCCATTAATGCCTTCCTTACGCTGCACCGCCCCCTTTCATCTCTGCTCATCCTTCCACATTTACCCACTGGTACCCCCCAGATTAGCAGGAAGGAGAGAAGCTACAGTGAAGAGGACAACGCTCAGAGCTCGCTGGGTGGGAAGGGAAGAATGGGGGGCTGCAAGGAAGCCCTGTGCCCCAAGGAAGGAGGTGCTCCACAGAAACACTAATACTTTACCGTGGGACAGGTACATGTGAAAGCAGCATTTACGGTCAGTCCTGGAGTACAGAGTGTCAGGGATCCTGGTTTAGGAGCACAGCAGAAAGGTTATGTCAAAACCACTGCAAATAGACGAGGGGTTTTACAGCAGAACTAGAAGTAAGGAAAGGAAAATTCATGGGGATATGCTGTGGTGTGCTCCACTCATACACCAAGCAGAAATGTGCTGTCCTCTGAATTTTTCAGTTCTGTGTTTTCCGTCTATCACTCATTTGCATTCATCTCATTCATGTATATACTTTAAACAACAGGTAAAAATTAATGGCACGCCCCTCGTACGACACCACTGGTCAGCCCTCCAGGTTGTCTTAAAATCCTGCAAAACAGGAGTCCCAAAAGAAAAAAAGGTAGAACAAGAAAGAAGAAACATTTGCAAGCTCCTCCTGGCCCCAGTCCCACACACCCAGAGAGAACTGCTGTTCACCATGCAGCCCTGGCCTCGCAAGAGGGGAATATCCAAACTCGCTCTTGCTCCACCGATAAAAGAAATAACACTGGGAATTTCTTCACAAGCTATCAGGCATCAGTGTGGGGGAGCACAGGAGGGAATTATAGGGCAGGAATCATACGTGCCTCCCTTCTCACAGTGAAGAATTTCCATTCTTCATTCTAGTGAATGCTACAGCATTCAGTGTATGTCTCTAATTTTGAAAGACGTTAAAGTAAGGAAACTATCACATCAAAGCAAGATTTCTTTTGGTGAAAACCATGCTGCAACTTACATTTCTTAAAAATAATCAGTTAAATAATTGGCAAAACAAGTTTATCTGATTTGCAGAATCAAATCAGATTCCCTCAAAGGATAAATTTTTCCATCTATTTGTGACAGTCCTTCTGTATTTCATTTAAAACAAAGCTTGAAAAACATGATATACTGAACTTGAGAACTTCATTATAAGTATAAAGCCAAATAACTATTTAGTAGTCCAAAATGGACTTATTAATAGAAACCAAAATTAAAAGGATAAACCCAAGACTTAAGCACCCAGCCAATGAGGATTCCAGGAACTATCCAGTGTTCAATTTATTTGAAAGAAAATAATAATAATACAGGACTGCACTTTTAACGGTCAAAAGTGATGCCAAACCAACAACTCCAGAGACCAAACTTCTGTCTCTTGTC